CCTGTGCTATGAAAAATGGGTCGGGTTCGGGTTGACCCATGAACCCGCATAGAATGAGCTGCCCGAGGCTGCCTCGGTTACCTGCGGCTGTCCGCGACCCCGCACGCTTGCGCACTACCGGCTAGCGAGTCGCTCTCGGAGGCCTGCGAGCTGCCCGAGGATGCCACAGTTAGATTTGACCAAGTCATTATCACCATCACCTATATCAATAGAACAAGATAATGCCCCTAAATGTTTAGTATCACTGCTAAACTATGGCACAAGAGAGGAGAAAAGAGTCTGAGGTGGAACACCAGCAACAAGAACCATCGAATCAGTCCCAACCGACAACCACACGGGAGTAGCCGATTCAAGCAAGGGCAATTCAATACAATGGGCTTTATTATTCATGCAAATATGATCGTTCTCACCCATAGGAATAGGTTCTAAATTATCAACACTTTTATGTCCAGAAACCTCACCCAAACCACCACCATTAGTAGGGGCATATTGATTAGCTAAATAAGGATTCAAAATATGACATTCAATTTATGAGTGACCCAAAAACTTACTATGAACATAATAAGAAGGAAATTCTTCCATTTGAACCCGTTGAATATTACCCATATATTCAAAATCGACCCAAACTTGGTTAGGGTACCGCTTGGTAACATCTAACTCCACATGAACACGATCAACTGAAGGCCTTGTGCCATTAGAGGTGGCATTATCCATTCGCAAGGGACAACCAAACAAGGAGCCAAGTCCATGAAGTATTTAGGGAGAAAACAGATGTCACGACCCGACCCGAATATGCACAAAAATCACCTGGAGCAAAACTGGGCAAAATCTGGAGCAAACTTTCCACTGATCGTCCCAGGACGATCCAGATCGTCCTGGACGATCCTGGAGCAGATTTTTGATATTACAACAGATGCGGAAGAAGATTGGGAAAGGAAACCAAATAGGGATGGTAGGAGATTCAATATTAATGTCAAAGAGATGAGTCAACTTAAATAACTTCAAGAAATAATAGTTGCCAATGAAAAAAGAACGATGTGAGAACACATGACAGTAATCTAAATTGTTCATAAGCTTATTCAACATGTTCTTAGCATCAAGCAAAGTGACTGAAAACTCACCTATGAGCTTAAGTTGAAAAAAGAATTTGTGAATAGCATCAATCGACAGCCGATAGCTAGTTAATTTTCCTTCCAAAGCAAACTCAAACAGAGCTGCCAAAGCCATCATTTCATCATCAGAAATTCATAACAACAGCAAACCATGGCAAGATGTAATTTTTCGGGCAGGAAATTGCGACTAGGACGAATTCCCTGACAGAACATCCCTAAAAGAGCACGATTTCAACTTCCCATCCAAAAAACCAAGGTCAATCAAATGATTAATATTTATCAAACTAAAAATTGTAAAAAAAAAAGGAATTAAAGAGCAAGGAAGGAGATTACCCAGGAGAAATACACAGAACCAACGCCTGAGCTGAGACGACAAGAAAAAGCCCAAGCCATGATAAACTATGATTAATGCTTTATAATTTTGTTTGTCCTCTTTTAGGCCTTGTTTGTAATTTAATTTCTATGGAATGAAATTTGGGCAAGTCCCTTTATTTAAAAAATATATCTTTTATTATTATTATTTTTAGACTTTTTTTTAAAAGTAAAACTTTCATTTGATTACTCACAATTAAAAAAATATCACAGTTTTAATACTCATATCATTCAGAAATTATGCGGAGAAATTTTTACTTTTTGTGGGAGATTTTTTTTTGTTTTGATTTTGTATTAAAATTTTAACTTTTCTGATCATAAAAGACAAAATTGATTAGTTAGTGTGGTTACAATATGGAAAAGTTTAGGATCCTTCAGATGAGCCAAGTTAATGCTTAAGATTCTACAAGTCTTCACTGATGTGGATTTTCCACTTGGTGAAGCTGACATATTCAACTTCACATCTATCCTACACCCATATGATGTATATATTCATAGAATCAAATGGTTTGGTCGAACAACAACCATATGCATAATATGGCTTTCAAAGCATATTTCATCATCTTTCTCTTGTTCCTTTTGATGCCATGTTTCATGGATTGTAGAGCCATAATTGTTGAAGAAATCCCCCACATCTCAAAAGGTCAGTACTTAATTGTAGAGCTCTTCTTCCTCTTCTTCTTCCTCTTTTCCTTCAAGGAAGCGATTGAAAAATATCCTAAACTCTAAATTTATATTACAATTAATTACAGGAGGCTTTCTTTCAAAATTATACACCAACATGATGGATCTCACAAAAAGAAGAAAATTGAAGGGACAGGATTTTAATCCTCCGTATTATTATCCTCCTACTTGTGGATTTTACGGATCCACGCCTTATTGTGAAAGATGCATTTATATGCCACCATATGTACCGTGTTATTGCTAAAAATAGGTAATTCATGGTTGTTCAACAAGAATTTAAAATTATAAACAGCTTTTGTAAGAAATAAAAGCTTGAAATTTTTCTAGCTGGATTTCGTAGAAGTTTGAAGTTGTTTGTAATATTCAGATGTTTGTATGTGTGATTAAAATGTCATTATCTATAATATTTTATGTTGTTATCTGACTCTTAAATTAACACTTTGTGATCTGGAACATCATATATAGCTTAAGTTTTTCTTAGGACTAGCAGCTTAAAAAAAAGTTGTATTAAGAAGCAGTAAGAAAGCGTTTGAAATGAAGTCTAAAGGTGATTATGTGATCAAATTCAAGAAGATTTGAAGAATATGGAGCAACCGTTTTTAATAATTTTTGCTCCAATCAATTGGTCAATTGTATTAGTGGTTGAAATTATAATTAAGAAAATTTTATTTGATTCACAACCTGAAGGAAGATCTATGTTTGACGTTTCAGAAGCAATTTCATCTTGTAATTTTTTTCAAAATTATAATTATGTCCTAAAATTTTTCAAATATTTAGCATATATATTTATATGACACAAGCTTTGATAAAAGGGGAAAAATTGATACATTTTAAGAAAATTCATTTTTATTAGTATGAATATAAAGATAATATTTGAATTGAATATTTTTGTGATTAAATTTAGGAAAATCCGAACTCTTATTTCAATAAACTTAGATTTGAATTGAATATCTCAACGAGTGAACCTATCAATGCCACAAGTGATTCGATCTAAGTCAAAATGAACTCAAATCAACAATTTGAAATATAAATGAAAACTTCAGGACATTAATTAAAATATCAAATTATATTCAAATTTTGCATGCTTATAGTCAAATGATAGATGGATGATCTTCAATCAAGGGGATCAAAATAGCTTGTTTGATGGAGTATTTTAAATTTTGGCAAAGTTTATTAAAAAGACCCTCTCAAAAAGCAATAAATAAGATCTCATTTTTTTTATGTGAGGGTTGTCCAAAAGCTAAAAGAGCTACATAACTCTATAGCAGTTTTTGGTGATCAATACTAATGACCACCATCAACAATTATCGCCATCATTGCCAGAATTTCATCATCTGATCTCTGTCATTTAACTATTGGCATCTAACTCTATTATTGGGTCAAGCCCTATGCTTTTTTTTCCTCTTTTTTGGGATTTCTACATAAAAAATTATTGGGTCTCATATATGTTATATTTGTGCATGATAGATTGTTATATAGAAAAGCTAGATATGTTTTTTTTATTCCTAAGTAATATTTTTTTAATTCATCAACAGTTATGATACGTCACCAAAAATTGCCTTGTTCGAGCATAAATCTCGAGACATTCAAGTAGAAAATTTTCAAAATTAAATTTGGGACCATCCAAACTTCAATTTTAGAAAAGTTATAGTCAAATCGAATCTCTAACGGAGACGAACCCAATGACACCAAAATAAATTCAATACAAGCCCATATTAGTCCAAATCAAGGAATCGAAGAACATTTGGAAGGTTCAAAGCATAAATTGGATGCATGACTAAATGATATCCAAATATAGCATATATTCAAATCAAATGGCTAGGTGAAATGAATCCAACGAGCATACAATTGATTAATTTCAACATCATTAAGACACTTAAATGCTTGATGACGCTCTATAGTCAATGGAATCAAGATGGGCCATCCGATGGAACAGTCGAAATTTACCATGAACATTCTCCATTTTTTCCGGGAATGCAACTATAAAAAAATCTATAAATAGGCTCATGCTCTCTTCATGAGGAGGGCTTGAACCTTTGCAAGCCTGGAGCTTTTTGCTGGAGATTGAAGAGATTCCCGAGGCTTAGCGACTCCAAGAGTTTTGCCCAGGAACCATAGCTGGAGAACTTCTGTCCGCCACATCCGGACCACCACCCATCCACCGACAGTTGAAGAATCCCTGTCCATCCTCTGACCACCATCACCCGCCGACTTTGGTCCCTTCGACCACCATCGCCTAAAACTAAGGTCCCTCCAACCACCATCGTCAGCTCACTACGATCCCTTCGACCACCATCGTTAGTTGACTACGATCCCTTTGACCACTATTGCTAGCGAGTACTACGATCCCATCAACCACTGTCGCCTGCCCACTACTATCCCTCCGACCACTGTCACCTATTGACTATGGTCTCTTCGATCAGCGTCGCACACCAACTACGAAACCTCCAACCACTGTAGCTTGTGAACAGTAATCCTACCGTCCACCGTTGTCTGCCAACTACGGTCCCTCCGACCACTGTCACCCACTGACTATGGTCCCTTCGTCCACCATCGCTCGCTAACTACAGTCCCTCCGCCGACTAAAGTTTCTCCGATCATCGTCGCCCACTTACTACGGTCCCTCTGACTTCCATCACCTGTCACTACAATCCATATGATCACCGTCACCCACCAACTACGGTCCCTCTGGCCACTGTCACCAGTCGACTACGGTCCCTCTTATCACCTTCAGCCCCCTACTACTATCTCTCCGACTCGACCATCATTAACCGCCAACTACGGTCCCTCCGACCTCCTTCGGCCGCCTGACAATGGTCCTTCGAACCTCTCTGTCGCCTGATTACGATCCAACCAACCTTCTTCGCCCTCCTACGGCTGGCCCTATCGACCAAACGAACATGATAACATTTTTTTCAGAACAACTCACATTACACTGGATTCTTCCAACTCCAACCATGTAATGTGTACGTTATGATGTAAACTTCTCATTTTTCTTTTCTTCTTTCATAGAAAATTAAAAGATATTGATCCTCAAAATTACGTAATTAAAAATATTGAAAAGAATAAAAATTTTCGTGACATCATAATTTTTTTGAAGATAATAACTTTGCGGTTGATATTATTTCCACAAGAAAAGTTTTTTGGTTGAGATTTTTTTTTTTTTTTGGGGTCATTTAAGATGACTTTACTTGTAGTTTAGTTGATCATAAAAGACATAATTCATTAGTAAGTGGGGTTGGAAAATGGAAATTAGAAGTTGTTCTTTAGTTGAGTCAAGTCAATTCTTAAGGTTCTACGAGTCCTCGTTGATCTGAATTTTGAGCTTTGGTGAGAATGACATATGCGGCTTTAAATCCATCCATAACGGATATATCATATCCAACTTAATTGTTTTTCCCTTAGAATCTCTATTTTTTTATTTATTGTGATTGTAGTTTTATGTCAGCCTATAATTAATATGTAATGAAGCTATCTTTATTTTAATTAATAATTAGCTCTTAATATTCTCAGCCACTTTTATTAAATAAAGGAAAAAAGAACTTTAAATTCTTTGAATAATTATTGTTTTATTAATCTATCATTTTATATAATATTTTAAAAATTCACAAAAAATTTAGAAAAATATTAATATAACAAGAACCTATCTCAGCTGCACTTTTACATATTATTATTAAAAAAAAAAAGAGCCAAAGTCTGACAAGAATGTCCGAATTAAAAGGAAAATATGAGGCTTTTTAATATTTTAAGATTTTTAGAGAAATTATCCAACTTATGCATTTTGAAGTTTTAGCCTTCTAATCAAAGTCCTACATGAGGGTCCTAGTTGGGTGCACATTGGGAGCTATGCTTTGCGTGGGTGGGCAAAGTCCTCCAACATCTACCTGTGGTGACTTTTGGGATGTTGTACCCACCCATACCCACCCACTTTCCACTCTTTTTGAACACAGTTCGCCACAGCTTGATGACCTTTAAACTTGTTACTCTTTGCTTTGACTGCAAATTTTAAGCTGCATATCAGAATTTATTGTGCTTACAGCGCTGTTTAGTGTTGCGCACTGCGTAGTGATGATTGAGGTAATATATGACAAACGATGATTAGCAATGTAAATTGTTTTATCTCCTGATATTAAGTACACACCTTTACGCATCCATGAGGTCATGGGCGTACTCATATCCACTCATACCCATTGGATATAGGTGGGTACATGGGTCGGTATGGGTATGAGTACTCAATACAGAGCTCTTCTTCTAATATAAAAATTCACTCTTTGTAATAGTCCACTTTATCTTTAATAATATAAAAATTCATTCTTCTTCGCAACTAAAGAAGAGGGCAATTGAGAACAATTGTCTCATTTTTATTGTTAGATAGAATAAAGGATGAAAAGGAGAGAACATTACACAATGCAATAGAATTTGCGTTACTAAAATTGGATAACAAAAATCAAATGATGAGGTCTGGTGTTATTAGTAACGCAACGATAATTGTGGTTGTTGATAATGTCATTAGTTGCGAGCAATGCAATAAAGTTCTTAAGATCTCTTAATTCTTATTCCTTATTGAGAGCGATATTTTGATTTTTTTTTTCAGAAAAAAAACGTCATAAAATAGTCCATTGATCACATATCATTTATCTAATACTTTGAGCACCTTGACAATCTTAGAATCTGATGATCATTTGCTTGTTGAATTCATTTTGTCGAGTTAATTGATTTGATTATAAGTATGTAAAATTTAAAAATAATTTGCTTCTTCAAATAATGTTATGAAATTTTCACATATGCTTCAAATGTTTGATTTGTATTCACTTGAACTAATATCAAAAAACTTTTTTATTTGGTTAGCTTTGTCTTGTCTAGACATTGAGTTCAACTATAAGTTTGTTAACATTATAGTTTATATGATCTTGAATTAAATTTCAAAAATTTCAAATTCAAATATTATCTTGAAATTCATGTTTTCATCCGTTAAAATTTAAATATTTAACAAAATTAGATTCAATAAGTTCAATAATTTCATCCATTGTGATGCTTAATTAGTTATAATTTTAATTTTAATTTCATATACATTTTTAGCTATAAATACTTATTTCCTTTTTAATTTTTCTATATGATGAGCAATCATCGGATGGCCCTTATTGGTTTCTCGATTATAGAGCATTTTCAAGTGTTTAAGTTCCTTAATGATATAAGAATTTAGTGATCTTGGGCTTGCTGAATTTATCTCACCGAGCTGCTCGATTCGCATGTTATATTTGGATATCATTTAAACTTCATCTGGAACATCTTTCTTACAGCTTTTTAAAGCAATTTTTTAGTAGCACAAAAAAAAATTATACTAAAAAGATGATTTAAGAAGCAGTAAAATAGCCGTCCCAAACGAACCCTTAGTCATCCAATTTAGGCTTTGAATCTTCCAAATGTGGTTCGAGAACCCGATTTGGAGCATTTGGGGTCGAATTGGACCAATTTTGGTGTTGTTGGATTCGTCTCTTCAAGACATTCAATTTGACTATAAGTTTGCTGAAATCGGGCCGGATTTGGATGGTCCCAAAATTAATTTTGGAAGTTTTCAATTTGAATATGCCTTGAGATTCGTGCACAATCGAAACGATTTTTGGTGACGTATCAATATGAATAATTATATTGAAAATATATTATTAATGAATCTAAATTGAAATAAAATTGAACATTCTTATTGTTAGTTAATTTTTAACAAATGGAAAAGAACGCAGTTTTAATCTTTATAAATATGGTCAACTACATAATTATTAGCTCTTTATATGGCTCATAAAATGAACTTAACTAAATGGAACCATATCAAATTTTTAATAGCACTTTATATAGCTAAGAAAATATAATTCGAATCATTTAATCCCTTAACATAAAGCTTGCTGGTGTTCTTTTTGCTTGCTACTTTCTATTGCACGTAGAGATATATGGCTTTTGGAACATTGTATATCTGCCTTTAAGTAGTTCAACATGGCCTATTGAGTTGAGTTGCCATTATGTATGATTCTGAGTTTAAACTAATCTCGATAAACAAAAAATTTTACGCAGCTCATATTGGTCTGTTGGTTGAGAGCTTTGACTACCAATCAATAGATTTAGGATTTGAATCTTACGTTTGTGATGCATGTGCAAGTTTGCCTCAATTGGCATAAAAATTTTTAAAAACAAAAAACTTACAAGTAGTAGAGAACTGGCCAAATTTGTTAAGAGCTCCTAATTATAGAGTGGTGCTACACTAATTTGAATATTTATATAATGCAAAGATACTGAAAAGTATTATATATAGATACATGATCTAATGCCATTTTCATGCAACTCTGTCTTTGGCCAACTTGAGAACCTAAAAGAAAATTTCTCGAAGTGAATTGAGTTCTTTGACAACAGTAGCCATCCCTATTCTCTGTGTTGGTAATTCACTTGAGCAAGTGAGTCCAATATGGACTAATGAAACCAAGCACTCTTCTATGTGAGTTCCAAAGCTCCTTCCATTAGTTCCATCTTCGATTTCTTGCAAGATTTGAGGATCTAAAATGGTAGAAATCATTTCTGGAAATGCACTCTCTACATATTTATGTAGGTTTATGCCTTGTACAAATGAATTATCAGTGGGTCTTTTGCCTGTTAGAATCTCCAGTAGAAGGACACCGTAGCTATACACATCTCCTAGCCAGGAGATTTGGTTTCCCATTCCATATTCTATAAATGTTGAGGGAGTTATACAAGAATTAATTGTAATAATTCTATGTATTCTACACATTTCAAAAGTAAAAAGCTTAAACAGATTGAAATTTTTTTACCTGGTGCAATGTATCCAATGGATCCTTGAAGCCACATCAAGCTTGCTGAGCTAAAGGATGAATCCGCGGAGACGGCCGAAGACATGATCTTTGCCAAGCCGAAGTCGCTAACCATGGCTGTCATATTATTGTTTAGAAGAATATTGCTTGGCTTTATATCACAATGAACAATTGGAGGTACACAATTATCATGAAGGTACTCCAGTGCCAAGGCCACATCTATGGCTATGTTTAACCTCTGATATAAACTCAATCTTTTAGACTTAAGAAACTTATCTTCAGTTTCTGGGTGCAACCAATTCTCTAAGCTCCCATTAGGCATGTATGCAAAGATAAGAGCCTTAAACTCATTACCATTGGAATCCAAACTTGAGCATAATGTGTCAATCTTTAGAAGATTTCTATGACGGATATTTTTCAGGACTTGGCATTCAGTGATAAAGCTCCTCATGGCTCCTCTTTGGTGGAGATTAAACACCTTAATAGCAACTTCATTTTCTCCATGAAGCATATTTAGTTTGTATACACAGCCAAAACTACCACTTCCAATCAGGTTTGCATTAGAAAATCCATTAGTTGCATTGAAGATTTCAGAATATGTAATTGATGGATAAGGTGATTTTGCTACGAGCAATGTAGTAAACTTCTTCTTTGATATATACATAATGCAAATTGCACACAATGATATGACCACAATAACGACAACTATAATTAGAAGTACGATTTTCAGTTCATTTGATCTTTCTTCTTCTTGGCATGATTGTAAATGTAAGATTGGATTATCACCACAAAGCTTCGGATTGCCAGTTATAGATAGAGCAGATGCATTGGCGAAAATACCATCCTCCGAGACTTCACCCTCAAAACTATTGAATGATAAGTTTAGAAAATGCAAGTAACTAAACTTTTCCAAGAATTTTGGAATTTGCCCAGATAAATTATTGTGAGAAAGATCAAGCTCTATCAAGGCATTTAGTTCGCTAAATGTTTTGGGAATACTTCCTTGGAAGAAGTTCATCTCCATTTTTAAGTATTGCAACATTGAACAATAACCAAGAGTTTCTGGAATTTCTCCTGACAACTGGTTGTATGATAAATTCAAGGCTACAAGGTTCTGCAGGCTACTAACTTGGAATGGCAAAGGTCCACTCAAAGAATTGTGTGAGAGATCTAAAAACCTTGTGAGAGAGGATAGGCTGACAACTTCCATAGGAATGCTTCCTTCTAATGCATTATGAGAAAGGTTTAACTCATGTAGGTATTTCCAATTAAATCCTAAAGTTGATGGTATGCTACCACTCAGTCGATTGTCTTGCAAGTACAGGTCATTTAGCTGAGTTAACTTGCCAATAGATAATGGAATTTGTCCTGCTAGCTTATTTCCAGACAAATCAAGCTCATTCAATTTTGAAAGATTACCCATGGTAGATGGAATGCTTCCTCTAAATAGGTTTTCATTCATGAAAAGAGCAGTTAATCCAGCAAGGCTACCTATCTCTGCAGGAATCATCCCAAATATTTGATTGGTTCCCAACCATAGAGATTCAAGTTTCATAGAGAAGTTACCAATTGACACTGGTAATTCACCCTGTAACTTATTTTTTTGAAGACAGTGTTTTCAAAAGAGTGCAATTTGTGAAAGATGAGAGGATGCTCATGTCATTCGAATGCAATTGATTCCACCCAATATCAATCTGAGTGATATTTGGAAGGGTTCCTAGGCAGGAAGGTATCATTCCACTCAAGCTGTTTCCGGCAAGATCGAGTATTTGAAGTCCAGACACATTGCATAATGAACGAGGAATAGATCCTTCAAAATTGTTTTCTTGCAAGTCTAATTTTTGAAGCAGTGGTAGTTTTAAGCCCATGGTCGGCAAAAGCAGTCCAGAGAGATTATTTTCTGCCATGCCAATATAAGTGATGGATGACAGGTTATAGAAAGAAGAAGGAAATTTACCTGACAACTTGTTTGCAGGTATATATAGCTCCTTTAATCTAGATATACTACCTAAGCTTTCTGGAATGCTTCCTTCCAACTTGTTTTGAGCAAGATAAAGGTAATTAAGGGAGGATAGATTTCCCAGTGAGGGAGGCATATCTCCTGAGAGTTGGTTCTCTGATAGCTCAAGAAAACCAAGTATTGAGGAAGATTTCAGAAAAGGTGGGATCTTTCCAGTTAAGCCATTTCTCTTAAGATTCAAATAGTGAAGTGTTGAGTTATTGAGTAATGAAGGTGGGATATTTTGTGAAAGATTATTGGAAGACAGATCAATAGTTTTTATATTCTTTCCTGTGGATAACATGGGAGGGATGCTTCCTTCAAGATTGTTGCTTGAAAGATCAATATAGTAGAGACTCGAGAAAGCACCTATTGAAGCTGGGATGCCGCCCGTGAGATGGTTATTGGAAAGATCAAGCAATAAAAGCGCTGAATTGTTCATAAGAAACTCCGGAATAGTTCCTGATAAGTGGTTTGCAGAAAGATTTAAATAGTTTAGAGAAGTGCTGTTACCGAGCAATGGAGGGATGAAATTAGTAAGATTGTTATCACCAAGCATCAAGAGATTGAGCATTGGAAGGGAGCACAAAGCATCAGGAATAACTCCTTCAAAATAATTCTTTGTAAGGTCAATGTATTCTAATTGTGACAATCTCCCAATCTCTTTTGGTATGTGGCCATGAAATAGATTATGTGAAAGCTGGAGATATGCCAGGAAGGTGATGTTGGAGATGGAGGGAGATAAAGGGCCTTCAAGTTGAAGTGAGTGGAGCTCTAAAGCTGTTACACGCCTTTGAGCTTTTAGTCCACAAGTGACTCCCTTCCACTCGCAGGGATCAAGAGAAGCATTGCTCCAGGAACTCAAGGCTTCAAGTGGATCAGAGATGGCAGATTTGAAAGCAAGCAATGCGAGCTGGTCAGTTTTTGTGCTTCCTGAAGGAGAAACATTTGCAGCTTCTGCTGCGTGGAGTGAGAGAAAAACAACTATGATTTCCCAGAAAAAAGCTGGATGGGGGAGTAAAAAACCCATTTTGGATTGAGATTTTGAAGAACAACATTACGCTTTATTATGGCATGAGACCACCAACGAGTAGATATTTATAAGGTTTCAAATTCCATTTTGAATGAGTGGAGTCAAGCCCTCCTGTATTATATAATTTCTATTTTGATGAAAATAATTTTTTTTTTCTTTCCAGCTGCAGTTGATAATGATGTAGGAAGCTTCCAAATTAAAAAATTTCCTTTGTCCAATTAAATTTCATAAAATTTATAAAAATTAAAGCAAATTCATTCTGGTTTCCGGTCGATATTTACAATTTTGAAGTTTTTTTTTTTAATTTGTTATTTTGAAAGATAAAATAGAAGATTAAGAAATACTTATAATTTTTAATATCTATTACTTCCATTCCGAAAATTTTTAATGATTATTTCATTATTAATACAACTACATATTATTATTTTTTAATATAAGTAATTAAAATATCATTCAATAAGTGATATCTAATTCAATTTTATATTCAATTTTTTATATAAGTTTCCTCTGCTAGGATTTTTTCCCTGGGCCGTGCCGAGGTTTCCTCAGCCCCGTTGGGGCCTTCGCGCTGGCATACTCGGTGAATTTCAGGGAAGTCCTCTCTTCATCTCCTTGTTTTCTATTTGTTTTGGTGATTTCTCACTTTGTTTTCGGTCTTCTTCTCCGGTGTTTGCCGGAATGACTTCGAATAGGTTGTGCGACTATGATTTTTTAGGGGGTTCGTCTCACTCAAGCTCGTTTTTGGAGGCGCTTGCTAGTTCTTCTTCAGTTTCCTCCTTTCCAGATATGCAGACCTCTACTTTCCGTGGTTTGCCCTCTCTTTAGATTTCTGACCATGAAATTAGCGGGTTAGCTATCCCATTTCAATTTTCCTTAGTTGGTTTCTTCCCTTTTAAGCGGCCTTCTCTTGATTCTATTTGCAAGTTTTTCTTTAACCTAAAGCTAAACAGTGAAGTTTCGATCACCTTACTTGACCCATTGAATATTCTGATCAAATTAGCAAATGATCTCGACTATTGTATGATATTTTGTCATAGATCCTATCTTATTTTCAACTGTTATATGAAACTAACGAAATGATCTCCTAACTTGGATGTTGGAGTTGAGTCGCTTGTCATCCCTATTTGGGTCTCTTTTCCGTAATTACGTCATCATCTTTATACCCCTCGTATACTTCATGGGTTGGGAGCTATCTTTGGGAAACCTCTGAAAATAGATGAGGCTACTTCTACGGGAACCCGGCCATCCATCGTTCGAGTTTTGGTGGAGCATGATATAACTAAATCCTATCCAAATCAGGTTTGGTAAGGTTTTGATAGTTTAGGGTATGTGTAGGAGGTTGTTTTGGAAATTGTCTTGCCGGATAATATTGTTAGAAATCGTAAACGGAAATTGAAGAAGAATCACATGATTTCATGTGCCTATTTTTGTGGTTTGTGGTTTTTGGCTACTATCAGTTTTTGGCTGTCGAAGTTGTTTTGGATCTAAACTATGTGGAAGCAGTCATTTTGCATGCACCTGTGATGGCCAGGGTTGGGCAACCGTAGTGGTCTGTTGTTTGCTACTTATGTTTGGTTTCTTGACTAATTTTGGATCTTCACTAAATGGCCCGCGCTGACATTTGGGTGTCGGTTTGAGTCCGTGTCGATCAGTTTATGATTTTTCTTTTTCGTTGATTATACCTCTCATGATATGGCCTGATCGTGATCTTGTGCTGTATCTCTCGCTTTTTTAATGATTTTTTCCTTTCGTTAAAATAAATAATAATAATCAATTTTTTCTAATAGCCATAATAGAAAGAGAACCCTTCCGATTTATGTATATTTACTTTAAAAAGTTCTAAATAATTTTATTATCATGATGAACATTTGATTATAATATTTTAATGTAATTTAATTTTGATGCACAAAAATCGCTTTGATCGGACATTAATGTCTAGGCATATTTGAATTGGAAACTCAAAGTTAAATTCGTTATTACCTCAAGTCTTATTGCGACAAACTTATAGTTGAATTGAATGCTTGAGGAGAGGAATCTGACGACATAAAAAATAATTCAATTCAAGCCTGAATTAGCACAAATCAATGGTCTAAAGCATTATTGAAAATTGTAATCAAATTTAACATGCTTGTTGTCAAATCCAATGTCTCGAACAAGGTTGAGATCAATTAATTCCAGCATCATTAAGGCTCTTAAATTTCAAATAAATATTCTATAATCATTGGAATTGATACAACACAAAAACTCGCCTTAATTGAGCACAAATCTTAAAGCATATTTTAGTTGGAAACATCCAAAATTAAATTTGGGGCGATCTAAACTTCAATCTCATCAAACTTATAGCTAAATTGAATGGCTAGACGAGACGAATGATGCGTTGAGCATTGGGCCCATCAAATGATGCGTTGAGCGTCAATTTCGACTCGTTTTGTGCGATTTTATATAAAGGGCTCAACGACGAACCCGAAGAAATCAAAATCGATCCAATTCGTAAAAACTCATGTGTCTCTTATGACTCTTGCACCTCTCTTTCTCATCTATGTGTGTGCAAGATCTTCGTACAAAATCATGACACAAAACCCTATATCTTTCTACCGCCACGAATATTTTAGCACACAACAGAAATAAATGAAGAAGTTTTTCAGATTTTCTCTCTATGACAAGCATACCATTCAAATTTTTTTATAAATAAGTAAATAACGACTCACTTTCTATATAAGGAGAAAGAAGAGCTTAGAATTGGAGCATGAACTCTCTTCTGAGATTCAACAGAGCTCTGCGGATCTAATAGACTTTAGACGTCAGAAAATCATGCGAACCATTACTGTCGCCCTCTCAACAAATACGCAAACAACATCGTATCACAATTTTCTTACATGTTTTTCATTGAGAGTTTCGGATAAGAATTGAAGGGGCGAGAAAGAGCCGTCGCGATCCCCTCGTAGTCTTCTACAGATTGAAGAAGGCTAACGTTTGTAATGGTGTAAGAAACTTTCAAACTGGAAAGTTTAGAGCAATTTTTGGAATTTAGAAAAAGCGTTAAGTGCACTCTTGTGAACTATCCTTTTCAACATTTATTACATTATATAACGTTAAAAGACAACGGGCACAGACCGCAACAATAGTCCGGCGACAAACATAAGTCCGGCAAGAGGCAGAAGTTCAGTGTTGGGTGGAAATTTGACGAAGGTCAGCAGACGGGCATAACTCTAGCGTTAGTTGGTGGTCGTGCAGAATTCCGACGTCGGTCGCCTGCTGAGTGAAAGTCCGACGGTGGTCGAGAAGTAATTTCTTACTTGTCCTCCTTTTCGTCTCCTACATTGATAAAGTGACCCAATCTATAAAGGACAAATATTAAAAATTAGAAGTAAAGAAAATGAAATCTAGGACTCATAAGATTCTTATAATAGCTTGGCACTTCATTAAGGGCTTTTTAATTTTATGAAAGTGAGTGTAAAATATTTTAAATATAGGCATTTTAAGAATTTTGATATTTAATTTGATGAAAAAGAATTGCAAAGTAAATTTTTAGTGAATTTTAAATTCACTTGTTGTTTGTTTTTCATGTATTTAAAATTTGTTCAATTTTTGGATAAATTTTAATGCACTACAAGTTGGCTTTACTCTTGTCGTTGTCTACCACTCTTGATTGCCCTCACTTTCATCGGGGAATTATTGGGTTCGGACATCAAATACAACTTATCGTTCAGTACTTCATAGTACCAAGTAATACTGAACTCGGTACTTCACAGTACCGAATAGTATCGAGCTCGGCACTGAGCAGTACTGAGCTCGGTACTGCTTGGTACTACTCAGTACCGAGTAGAAGGTGATGTGGCGTATTTTCATTGGGCTCCGGATCGGTGTCCGAACCCAATAATTTCCCCACTTTCATTATTATTAAGCTTTACAGTGCATTATATTTACTTCAAATAAAATAAGTGAAAAAATCATAATCACATATAGTCGTTGTTCTTGCTTAAAATAAGTGAAAAAATCATAATCACATATAGTCGTTGTTCTTGCTAAAGCATACCTCGTAAGTTTGGAAAGGGTTGGAAGCTGACATGAGTGGATGCCACTGGGAGCAGATGGAGCAGAAATTGAATCATCTCTTCTATAAATAGTAATTATGATTTACGTCTCTGCTCAAAACTCTCCTCCGTCAATGTCTTCCATCCAAACAACAAAAGTTAAGGGCGAACGCCCACGCCTAATTGCTAAGAAAGGATTTAGGTCTTCGGCTCTCGGGTAAAAACTCTCCTCCGTCATGTCTGGCTTCCAAACAACAAAATTTAAGGGCGAACGCCTAATTGCAGAGAAAGGGCATCATTCCGTCTATTTAAAAGAAAAAGACAAACTAAAATATGAGTATTCTTTCTTCAACATTAAACAATTTCATATGGAGTTACTATTACTCTTATTCCATGTCTTCTTCATGGCCTGATCTTCCTCTTGATATATTAATAAGCATGGGAAATAAGCTACACAATGCCGACCTGTTTTCTTTTCGCTCAGCCTGCTCCCAATGGCATTCTGTCGTGCATGCCCCTAATCCTTGCCCAAATTACTTGGTAAGCTTCAACTCTAAAAACAATATGATCAACTTGGTCATGAAAAAAAAAGAGAGTATTAGACCATGACCAACTGAAATTTCATTTTTCACTTCAAAATGTCGTGAAACTAAGAAAAATGATGTGATTCATCCAATCGAACTCCAATTTTGCGAACGCAACATTCTTTCTTCTTTTCGTGCGTTTCTTCGGCAAGTTAGGTAGAGACAGAAAAATTACATAGATGAACAGTGGGACGCCAATATTGACGTCCCACTGTTCACGCGCAAGCAAATAGCGGAAGTTTTACCATTCTGCTGGAACTCTGCAGCAACCGGATTCAAGCGTTTGGAATTCGGTTGGAGATGCCCTTAGCCGTAATCACTTCATCTCCTTGCCATTTTCATTATCTTCTCCCATGTCTTTCTTTGGCTCTTCAAATGAGTGGCTTGTCTTCATAATCTGCAAAAATGATACTCTTCATCTTTACGATCCTGTATCAAACCTCAAACTCATAATCTGCAAAAATGACCT